ACCGACTTTTGCTCCTAACGGGGTGTGCGGGGTGATTTCCGGTGCCAACGGGGTGTGCAAGAGCGGCAAGACGGGATGGGGTATTTTGGGCAAACGGAGAGGGGTGATGCCCTGTGCCGGAACCTGGGTACCACGCTCGCGATGGTTGAGCTGTGCTTGAGGTACGGGATAAAACTCTATCGATAGTAACAGTAGAGAGACCACTTTGGGAAGAAGGTCGGTGAGGAGATGACCGTGCTTTGCATGTGACATGCCTAAGTTTTCGTGTTTTGTATCCCCTTTTGTAAAGATGATTGAGATATGAGTCGTTGGGCGGGACTAACATTCTAGTCTATTCTCACCCCCTGCCCAAGTCCGCACGAGTGAGTGAAGATCATGAGACAAAGAGATAAAGATCGGCTTGAAAGGAACCGAGAAAATGAGTTAGGGTGAAGAAGGGCGACTTGGGGGTTCCGAAGGGGGTTAGAATTTGAGAATTGGGGAGGTAAGCTAGGCTAGACCTTGATGAGGGGTCTGAAATATTCTCCTCCTGGTCACCCACCCCACAACAGTAGCAGCCAAGCGTTGCTCACCCATCCCTCAGCTGTAGTAGCCAAGCGCTGATCACTCATCCCACAGCAGTAGCAGCCAAGCGCTGGTCACCCATCCCACAACAGTAGTAGTCAAGCATCGGTCACCCATCCCTTATTAATAGCTGCAAGATATAAGCACAAGTAGACTTAACATGAACCGTGGACAATGCATGAGCTCATGACTACTGGATCACTAAGAAAAGCAAAAACACAAGTAGCAATTCACAGGCAAATGAAGAATGAAGCAAAACATGGAAAGAAAGTGAGTGAAACTCACTTTTGACCACATACACACAAAAGCGGAAGTAACGATTTACCCCAGAGTGATGAAATAGACAATGCATGAGCTCAACACTACTAGAAAACTAGAATAAGCAAAGATGGAAGTAGCGATTTACACCCAAGTGAAGAATGAAGCAAAACATGGAGAGAAAGTGAGTGAAACTCAGTTTTGAGTACACACACACAAAGGGTAAAGTAACGATTTACTCTAGAGTGATGAAATGGACAACGTATGAGCTCAACATTACTAGAACACTAGAATAAGCAAAGATGGAAGTAGCGATTTAGACCTAAGTGAAGAATGAAGCAAAACATGGAGAGAAAGCAAGTAAAACTCACTTTTGAGCACACATACACACAAAAGGGGAAGTAACGATTTACTCTAAAGTGATGAAATGAACAATGTATGAGCTCAACACTACTAGAACACTAGAATAAGCAAAGATGGAAATAACGATTTACACCCAAGTGAAAAATTAAGCAAAACATGGAGAGAAAGTTGCGAGGCATAGGCCTTGATAAGCCCCACTGGGTCCTATTTGCAACAACATTGGTCGCCCTAAGTGACGGCAGACCCAACAGACCCTCAGATGCCTATTTTGAACTACTTCATAACTGGGGAAAATTCAGGCAGTTGCGCTGCGTCATTTGGTTGGAAGCGCCCAGACCCTGACTTCCTTTATCAAATGCATCTGGGTTAGGCCCTGGCGAGATTCGCAGCATAAGCCTAATTCAGGTTGCGGGCAGTTGGGCACAGGTAACTGTCACCAACCTGGGCCAATTCCTTCGGTCTGGGCCTCAGTCTACCGAGGCCTACCGAAAGCTTCTTGGGAAAGACCCAGCGCAGCCTGGGACAGAATGCAGACAGACCATTTCCATATAGCAAAGGGTCTGCCCCCGCATTGGACATTGGGGTGCTGACTGCGTGCTGCGCAAGCGCTGCTGCGCTGAAGCTGGCTGGTACTCACGCACTCACGGGCGAGCTGGAAGGAGCAGGCACCCATAGCCAAGTTGCGCTGATGTAGGCTGGGTGTGGCGCATGGTGGTCCTTGGGTGCATGTGGCATCTCTGTATAGGGGAACGAGGTTGTGAGTGATGCGAGAGACATACCTGGTCCTGGAAGCATGCGGCCGCTATCTGCTCGTACTTCGGGAGAGTTATTGTCGTCATCTTCGGCATTGTAGTCTAGACTAGATAGGATCTGCCAGTTGTAGTTTGGGCGCCGAGCGCCAGATAGGATATCAACATTGGTTTTTCGTTGATGAGGATGATGAGACTATTCCAAGATTGTCAATTATGAGCTTCTGGTGTACTCTTATTTGGTGAAACTCGTGATGCAATTCTGCTTTTGGTTCGAGGTCACGACTATCTGGTCTTATGTGTATGATGCTGTTTGATTGCTGAAGTTCGCCATTGCTCATCTTCCTTGCAAAGTGAGTAAAACTCACTTTTGAGCACATACACACAAAAGGGAAAGTAGCGATTTACTCTAGAATGATGAAATGGACAATGCATGAGCTCAACACTACTAGAACACTAGAATAAGCAAAGATGGAAGTAGCGATTTACACCCAAGTGAAAAATGAACCACAACATGGAGAGAAAGTAAGTGAAACTCACTTTTGCGCACACATACACAAAGGGGAACGTAACGATTTAATCTAGAGTGATGAAATGAACAATGCGTGAGCTCAACACTACTAGAACACTAAAATAAGCAAAGATGGAAGTAGCGATTTACACCTAAGTGAAGAATGAAGCACTTTTGAGCACACACACACAAAAGGGAAAGTAACGATTTACTCTAAAGTGAAAAAATGGACAACGCATGAGGTCAACACTACTAGAATACTAGAATAAGTAACGATAGAAGTAGCGATTCACACCCAAGTAAATAATGAAGCAAAACATGAAGAGAAAGTGAGTGAAACTCACTTTTTAGCACACACAAACAAAAAGGAAAGTAGCGATTTACTCTGATGGAGAACTGGGTCACGGTCACTATGCCAACCCACCGGGAGTAGAGCACGCATTTTTTGCTGCTTTGTCCTTGTCTGCTTGCTGCACTCATACAAGGGGTACTGAAGGGTCGGCCAGCCATATGAGAGAGACGAGTATCGAGCGTCCATAAATAAACAGCGGTTGGGGAAACCGTTGGTTGTGATCGTTGTCCTGTTGCGACGTAAAATAATTCCTGATGACACTTGGGGGCGGTCGTTAAATTGCCTCTGGATCAGCCAATTGGTGTAAGGCTCGCGTGTAACACAGTGCAGGGCTGACCAGCTCAGCAGCTACTCGGGGCATAGGGGTGGGCCGTTTGCACACCTTTAGTCACGCACGCCAAACCGGATTGCTGAGGGACACTGACGTCAAGTGATAATCAAGGGGAATTAGGGAAGGGGTAGACTCCAGGTGATAAGTTTGAGTAAGATCCCATGCTGTGAACAGACCAAATAAACGATTCTATTCTTATTTTGATTAGTTAGATGTACAACCATTCACATATGACAGACAACATTAGTTATAACTGTTTTTTGTTCCTTGTGCTTTTTGCTTGCGGACTAATCAAAGTACAATAGTTTGTGTTTTTAGGAATTTGAACTTACCTGTTGAACCCGAATGGATAGTCTCTAACATAGCCACCAATTATTTATTTATTTTATTTTAAATTGGTTTATACATTATATTGCGGTAGGCATCTGGAGTGTTCTAATGCAGTCTGTGTATGGTGTTGTTGCTTATGAGCGACAGGGAGGACACTAGAGAGGACGACCGGATCTTGCGATCGGCCAGACGCCCAATTGCCCATCTGGCATTAGGACCAGAGGACGACTGATACTTGTTCCACCAACGGAGAGAGAGGCTGCGGCAGCAGAGAAGAGCTAGGGCCGCAAAGGAAAGCAGGACATTCGCAAGCGAGGCCGCTACTTCAACAGCCATGGTCACTGCCGCGCAGCAAACTTTTCAGGCTAGTAGTTCAGGTTCTGTTGGGTCAACGGTCGCTCAGAACGTGAGTCAGTCCACTGGCGTTGTGGCAAGCCAGCCAATAGTGTTGACCCCCAAGGAGGTTGCCATACAGTGAGCAGCGATTCGCGAGGGACAACTACAACAGGCGTTAGGAGAGATTAAGGCAGAGAAAGAGAAAATGATTAGAAAAAGAGTCAGGATGCAGCGGAGGCAAGCGAACGTTAGTGAGTTAGAGGAGATGGACCTGACACACATGACTGATGACGTGAGGACCACACGGTCCATCCTGCTAGATGTAGTTGAAATGCAGGACCACCAGATGGCTCTCCTTCAGGACATTCAGCAGAGTCTGGCCGTATTGGTCGCCGTATTGGTTGGACGAGCGCAGACTGCACCATTGCCGTCGGGGCCAGGTGTCTGGCCCGTTGCACAACCTCCTCCTTTTCTCCCACCAGTGACTTGGGTATCCCCATATATAGCTCCAGCATCAGTCCAACCCATTTCCCTGGGTATGCCCTTGACAGGCGGGTTCTCACCAGGTCCTAGTTTGCAGGTTCTTGTACAGACTGTGTATTTTCAACCTCCGTTGCAGATTGCAGTTACAACGCAACCTGCTGTCTCGCAGTCTGTACACCCGCAGGGTACACATATCCTACAGTTAGTGCAGCAGCCTGCACCACAGGGTCCACAGTTTGGATTGGTGTACATACTGGGACAAAGTCAGTGGGTACCAAAGACGGCCATCGCTGCTCCTAAACCCTTCACAAGGGATAAGAGGGGCGAAGACCTCGACACTTGGTTGAGGTTAGTGCCGATCTATGTCAAGTGTCAACTTACCGTGCCGCATGAGGAAGTGTTTGTGGCTGCATCCTACCTAGAGGGAAGTGCAGCAAGATGGTTGAGTGGTTTAGTGCAGTTACAGGGGTACGTTCATGATTTCCGCGTTTGGGCAGCCCACCAGAAAATGGAGGACTTCCTAAAGATGGTGGAAGATAGGTGGCATGATCCTCAGGAGGCCCAAAAAGCAACTGGCGCAATCCTTACACTGCACACGAGGCAGTTCAGGTCAGTTAGGGAGGCCACTGACGCTGTAGAGCGTCCGATCTGTTTCCCTGGGGTGCGCTATGAGCCCCAGGTCTTACTCACCTCATACCTGAGATGCTTTCCTATGCCTCTCAGGAATCAGTTGGCAGGTGAGGCCAGCATCAATATGCACAACTTTCCTTCGTTCAACAAGAAGGCCCTAGACCTTGAAGCAAAGATAGGGCCTGGACATAATCCCACAACGGATGGTCGGAAGAAAACACTGTCTCCCAACTGGAAAGCGAAGGGTCGCATTATGTTCGTCGATAACGATGGTTCAACCATCGAGTTAGATGACAACTTCCAGGAGGGAGTAGGTTCAGAGGCTGGCAGCGTAGAAGCTTTAGGGGATGGAGTAGTCGCTGCCGTAGCACAAAAAGGTAAGGCGACAAGGCCGTGGAGGTTCCCGGTCAAGGAGTCAAGTTGACCCCAATGCTCCTCCATGGGAGAAAGCGGGTCTCATRGAGGACGTGTGGAGAGATCGGTACACACGGCAGGCTTGTATCCGTTGTGGCCAATATGGCCATAACCAATTCAAGTGTCGAAACAAGAAGGTGACCGAGAAGATCCCGCCTACGATGGGGCAGGCGGTAGGATCCTCCAGTTCCGTTGGTAGCAATGTTGCCAACACTTCAGGCACTGCTCCGGGAAACACGTTGGGCCAGTGAGAATAGTAGTTGTTCCTGCTGGGGTCGAGGTGGTGGACACACCCTCACCATCTCGAGAGATGACCCAATTTATTAATTCCATCGTCGTCCCGCAAACACATTCAGACCCATCGACCCTCTGTTCGATGAATATGTTTGAGTCCTTAGAGGAGCTAGAGGAGGAGTGGTCTAGGTCAGACCCACTAGCTTCTTGGACGACACTAGTCAAAGCTCCTAAGGGTGAGATGTTCGTCAGCGAGGTAGTCATCAGCGGCCGCAAGGCCGGGGCCTATTATGACACTTGCTCGACATGAAACGTGCGTTGAGAGGCTGCGCTTACAGGGGAAAGTGCAGCGCTTGAGTCGACCTGTCGAGTCGACATGTGCCAACAAACAGCGCATGGTAGTCAATGACTACCTCCAAGATGTCGAGTGTTGTTTCTCGTACGCGGGAGGGGAACTGAGACATCACGTCTCGTTCCTAGTGAGTGATGAACTCCCCATGGATATGTTATTAGGTATGTACTACCTCTCTGTGGCACAACCCCAGTTTGACTGGGACCGAAAAGTGGTCAAACACACTTTGCCAGGTGGAGGGACCGCCATATTACGTACAACCTCAGGAATGCTCCTGGCACCTTTCAACACGCTATGAATCGGATATTTCTTGACTACTTGGATAAGTATGTCATTGTGTACCTCGATTACTTATTTTAGTAAAACTGTCGAGGAGCACGTTGCGCACTTGGACAAAGTCCTTAGTCTTCTGCGACAGCACAAGTTCAAGATCAACGGTGAGAAGTGCGAGTTTGGCCACACCCGTGTCTTGTACTTGGGTCATGAGATTTCCACGGAGGGATTGAACCCCGATGATGCGAAGGTGGTCAGTATTCGTGATTGGCCACGTCCTCAATCTATGACTGAGATGAGATATTTCTTAGGGATGATAGGCTACTATAGGACTTTCGTGAAGAATTATAGTCTAGTGGCTGCCCCTTTGACTGATCTGACCTGCCTTGACACCCCATGGGAGTGGACAGACGAGTGCAAGGCTGCTTTTAGACATCTGAAGCATGCGTTGATGCACTACGAGGTCTTGAAACTTCCTGATCCTGATAAACTGTTTGTAGTAACCACGGATGCCCGTCAATATGGCATTGGTGTCGTACTTGCGCAACAGGAGAGGGAAAAGTTAAGGCATGTCGAGTACATGTCTAAGAAGATGTCGTCTCATAAGTTGGCCAAGTCCACCTATGAGAAGGAACTCTATGCGATTTACAAGGCTCTGACCCATTGGAGGCACTATCTCCTTGGGAGGTTCTTCATCCTTAGGACTGATCATCAAACCTTGAGGTGGATGAGACCTCTGCCGGTGCTCACTGACGCTCTAAAGCGTTGGATCGAAGTCATTGAGCAATATGACTTCGACTCGCAGTATCTAAAAGGGGAGTACAACAAGGTTGCTGATGCCTTATCGTGTAGACCTGATTTCTCAGGTGCGCTGATTACTGAGTTCGACCTTACAGACAATGTTACTTGTTCTTTGGTTGAAGCCTATCGCGAGGACCAGTTCATGTCTGAGATCATACACCGACTTGAGGCGAAGGATAAGAAGACTTTTGTCGAGTTTGAGTTGATCAACGACTTGCTGTTCTTGTGTGTCCCAAATAGAGAGTCTTTGCGTAGTTTATTTTTAGGAGAATGTCATGACCACACCGACCATTTTGGTTTCAAGAAGACTGCAGTCAATTTGTTGCAGTGGTTCTGGTGGCCCACGATGATGAGAGATGCTAAGTTGTACGTGGAGACTTGCCAGGTTTGTCTGAGAGACAAGGCCTGTACACAGGCCCCTCTTGGGCTCCTCAAGCCCTTTCCGATTCCGGAAAGGCCTGGTGAGAGCCTATCCATGGACTTCATGGACACGCTGGTAACTAGCAAGAGCGGAATGCGACACATCTTTGTTTTCGTGGATCGGTTTAGTAAGTACGCTAGGTTAGTTGCAATGGCAGAGACAGCGAAGACTGAGCATGTGATTAAGTTGTTCAAAGAGAACTGGGTTAGAGATTTTGGATTGCCAAAGTCTATAGTCAGTGACCGTGATGTGCGATTTACAAGTGAACTGTGGAAAGCAGCTGCTGCAGAATAGGGAACGCACCTGCAGATGACATCAAGAAACCGTCCCGAGGTGAATGGACAAGCAGAATAGTCGAACCGCGTTGTACAACACCTGCTGAGGCATCAAATCAGGTAGACTGGGATGAGAAACTTGCTCTCATTGCCAGCTTGTACAACAACGCGGCCCACAGTGCAATAGGCGTGAGCCCGAATAGTCTGCTATTAACCTTTAAACCTGGACTGCCCTTGGATTTCTTACTACCTGAGAACCAGCCCCCTGTTGCACCTGGGACTTTAGAATTTGCTTATCGATATGAACAATTAATGCAATAGGCTCTTGAGAAAATGCACAAGGCACAGGCGGCGATGATAGAGTCTGAGAACAAACACCGCTGCCCATCCACGTTTCAGGTAGGAGAGAGAGTCTGGGTCAAGTCCTCATAAATGGTCCCGGAGCACGGGATCTTCTGCATGCTCATGCCACAGTACTTTGGACCATGGGACATTCTGGATGTTGTTAGGAATGAACCAGATGGGCCGTCTTATGTTGTTCGCATCCCTGGTCACTTACGCACTTACCTTGTTTCCCACGCCTCAAAGCTTGCACCTTTTAAAGAAACAGATCAGTCCATCTCATCGCTCAATGCTGCCCCCAACCATGGATGGAGAGGTCGACATCGATGATATTGTTGACCACCGGGAGATGCCAGTTCCAAGACTAATAGGCGGAGAACGTCCTCCAAAACCGAAGCTGCAGTATCGAGTTCGGTTCAGACATCACATCGATCCAAAGGAGGACAGATGGTTCACAAGGGAGGAACTGATGCAGACCGCTCCACAGGTAGTTGCCCACTATGAGAAGTCTTTACGGAAAGGAAAGCGCCAGCTGATCGAAGATTGAACTTCTCAGAGGAATAGCGAAGTATGGAGGAGGGAATGTGAGGCACAAGGCCTCGATAAGCCCCGCTGGCCCCTATTTGCAACAGCGTCGGCCGCCCTAAGTGAAGGCAGGCCCGACAAATCCTCAGAGGCCTATTTTGGACTACTTCGCAACTGGGAAAAATTCAGGCAGTTGCGCTGCACCAGTTGGTTTGAAGCGCCCAAACCCTGGCTTACTTTATCAAATGTATCTGAGTCAGGCCCTAGGCGAGATTCGCAGCATAGGCCCAAGTCAAGTTGCGGGCAGTTGGACACAGATAACTATCAGCAGCCATGGGCCAATTCGTTTGGTCCGGGCCTCGGTCTACCGGGGCCTACCGGAAGCGTCTTGGACAAGGCCCAGCGCAGCCTAGGACAGAACGCAGGCAGGCCGTTTCCATATAGCAAAGGGCCTGCCTCCGTATTGGACGTTGGGGTGTTGGTTGCATGCTGCGTAAGCGCTGCTGCGCTGAAGCTGGTTAGTACTCACTCGCTCACGGGCGAGCTGGAAGGAGCAGGCACCCATAGCCAAGTTGCGCTGCTGTAGGCTGGGTGTGGCGCATGGTGGTCTTTGGGTGCATGTGGCATTTGTGTGTAGGGGAACGAGGTTGTGAGTGATGCGAGAGACATACCTGGTGCTGGAAGGATGCAGCATTGACCGCTATCTGCTCGTACTTCGGGAGATTTGTTGTCGTCATCTTTGGCATTGTAGTCTAGGCTAGATAGGATCTGCCAGCTGTAGTCTGGGCGCCGAATGCCATATAGGATATCAACATTGGTTCTTCGTTGATGAGGATGATGAGACTATTCCAGGATTGTCAATTATGAGCTTCTGGTGTACTCTTATTTGGTGAAACTCGTGATGCAATTTTGCTTTTGGTTCAAGGTCACTACTATCTGGTCTTATGTGTATGATGTTGTTTGATTGTTGAAGTTCGTTATTGCTCATCTTCCTTGCAAAGTGAGTGAAACTCATTTTTTAGCACAAACACACAAAGGGGAAAGTAGTAATTTACTCTAGAGTGATGAAATGGATAATGCATAAGCTCAACACTACTAGAACACTAGAATAAGCAATGATGGAATCACCGATTTACACCCAAGTGAAGAATGAAGCAAAACATGGAGAGAAAGTGAGTGAAGCTGATTTTTTAGCACACATACACAAAGGGGAAAGTAGCGATTTACTCTAGAGTGAAGAAATGGAAAATGCATGAGCTCAAGGCTGCTAGAATACTAGAGTAAGCAAAGATGCATGTAGCGATTTACACCCAAGTGAAGAATGAAGCAAATATGGAGAGAGAGTGAGAGAAACTAACTTTTTCAGCACGCACTCAAACTGGGCAGTAAGGATTTACACAAGAGTGGAAAAACAGACAATGCATGAGCTCAAAACTACTAGAACACTAGAATGAGCAAAGATACAAGTAGCGATTTACACCAGAGTGAAAAATGACACACAATATGGAGAGAAAGTGGGAGAAACTCACTGTTGAGCACAAACAAAAAAAAGGGAATGTAGCGATTTACTCTAGAGTGAAGGAATGGATAAGGCATGAGATCAACACTACTAGAATACTAGAGTAAGCAAAGATAAAAGTAGCGATTTACACCCCAGTGAAGAATGAAGCAAAACATGAAGAGAAAGTGAGTGAAACTCACTTCTGAATACACACACACAAAAAGGAAAGTAACGATTTACTTCTAGAGTCAAGAAATGGACGATGCATGAGCTCAACACTACTAGAACACTACAGTAAGCAAAGACAAAAGTAGCGATTTACACCCAAGTGAAGAATGAAGCAAAACATTCGGAGAAAGTTAGTGAAACTCTCTTTTGAGCACACACATACAAAAGGGAAAGTAACGATTTACTCTAGAGTGAAAAAATGAATAATGCATGAGCTCAATTCTACTAAAACATTAGAATAAGCAACGATAGAAGGAGCGATTTACACCTAAGTTAAGAATGAACAAAACATAGAGAGAAAGTGAGTGAACCTCACTTTTGAGCACACACACTAAAAAAGGAAAGTAGTGATTTACTCTAGAGCGAAAAAATGGAAAATGCTTGAGCTCAAGGCTGCTACAACACTACAATAAGCAAAGATACAAATACCGATTTACACCCAAGTGAAGAATGAAGCAAATGTGGAGAGAGAGTGAGAGAAACTCACTTTTTGAGCACACACATTGAAAGTGGGGAGTAACGATTTACACAAAGGTATAAAAATAGACAATGCATGTGCTCAAGACTACGAGAACACTAGAATAAGTAAAGATACAAACAACGATTTACACCAAAGTGAAGAATGACACAAAATATTGAGAGAAAGTGGGGGAAACTCACTTTTGAGCACACACACACACAAAAGGGGAAGTAGCGTTTTTCTCTAGACTGAAGGAATAGACAATGCATGAGTTCAACACTACTAGAACACTGGAATAAGCAAAGATAGAGGTAGCGATTTACACCCAAGTGAAGAATGAAGCAAAACATGGAGAGAAAGTGAGTGGAACTCACTTTTGAGTACATACACACACAAGGGGAAGTAACGATTTACTTCTAAAGTGAAGAAACAGACAATCCATGAGCTCAACACTACTAGAACACTAGAATAAGCAAAGATAGAAGTAGCGATTCACACCCAAGTGAAGAATGAAGCAAAACATGGGGAGAAAGTGAGGGAAACTCACTTTTGAACAAAAAAAAAAAAAAAGGAAAGTAACGATTTACTCGAGAGTGAAGAAATGGACAATGCATGAGCTCAACACTACTAGAACACTAAAATAAGCAAAGATAGTAGTAGTGATTTACACCGAAGTGAAGAATGAAGTAAAACATAGAGAGAAAGTGAAAGAAACACAAAAAAGGGAAAGTAACGATTTACTCTAGAGTAATGAAATGGACAATGCATGAGCTCAACTCTACTAGAATACTAGAATAAACAAAGATAGAAGAAGCGATTTACACCCAAGTGACGAATGAAGCAAAACATGGAGGGAAAGTGAGTTAAACTTACTTTTGGGCACATACACACAGAAGAGGAAGTGGCGATTTACTCTAGAGTGAAAAAATGGACAATGGGGAGTCCACTACTAGTGGAGAAGCCCCTTATTATCTGTACTAATCTTTGGAAAGCATCTATGGATAAAGAGAACATAAGAGAAAGTGTAGATGTTAAAACATGGGAGGATGAGAGAAGAAGAAGAGGAGGAAGAAGAAAAAAGAGGAGGAAAAGAAGAAGAAGAGGAGGACGAAGAAGAAGAAGAAAAAAAAAAATAATAATAATAATAATAAAAAATAATAATAATAATAATAAGAATAAGAACAAGAAGAAGAGGAGGAAAAAGAAGAAGAAGAAGAAGAAGAAGAAGAAGAAGAAGAAGAGGAAGTTTCTCCTTTTCTTTAATCACCTTCTCTTGGGTTTTGGAGTTGATGTACCGGTCTTGGAGATTCTCCTCCTCACTAGGCTATAACTTCCTTCTTCCTCGAATTCTTCTCACTTCCCCTTCTCAGTCCCCCTCAACTTACAACAAGCTCCTATCACTATGACTATGGAGTCCTCCCCTCTAGGAGGGCTAATGAAACTCTCTCCAACAAAAAAAATCCCAGAATTAAATGATAATTCTAGAGTAAAATTACATTCTAAATTTTAAATTTTCATTCCATCTTAAAAAATGTCATTCTAATTTTAAAATTTCCCGTCTTACTTGAAAACTTTTCGGGTATCCCTTCTTATTTGAACTGCATGCTAAAGATGGAATGAAAGTCTGGATGAGTTCCTGGAATATTTTAATTGGACTGTCATTCTAAGTAAGGATTTTCAGTCATAAATAAGTTAATCGAAAATTAGAAGATATTTGTTGTAATAGAATAAAAATTTAATTAAAACATTTCATAAATTCGTCCAGACTTTCATTCCATCTTGAACAAATAGATGTAGTTGGAAGGGAAAACTCATATTTAAACGAGAATTTATTAAATAAAACTGTAAATGTTATAATAGGACGAACATTGGAGTGATAATTTATAAACATGAAGGATTTTTTTTTTATATGATATTTTTTCAACTTTCATTTCTCGTGGTAATTTTTTTGTTGTCTAGCCTTGTCTTATTCCTCACAGCCTGGGGGCTATGGCGGACCACCCTCCTAGGCCATCTCACTGCCACTAGCCTCTAGAGCTCCTCACACTAACTCACAGTCTCCTCTAAACTCTCAAACTGGCAGGGGTTCCCCTCTCCTCAGAGGTGGCAACTGGGATTTTTTGGAATACCTGTACCTTACCTACCCATACCCTCTTTGAAAACTAACCACCCATAAACACTGTATAGATGGCCTACCAGACTTTTACCCATCCTTACCTGCTAAAAAAAAAAAGAATTGTACCCGTACCTGCCCTACCTAAACCCCTTCAGATTGTAACTGCCCATAACTGCCCATGAACTTTCTGTTTCAAAATTACCCATGGCCACCTACACCCAAACCTTTTGTTAACCACCTGTACCGTACCCAACCAGTTTTTGTTTTCACCCCTACCCACCTGTACCCACTCACAATTGTATGCACCCACCCATAACCATCCACACTTGTGACCCACCCTCCCCTAACCACCCCTAATTGTCTCCAACCACCCCTAGCTGCCCCTCAATGTCCCCAACCGCCCCCAACCGCCACCCCTAATCGCCCCTAGCCATGCGCATTTGTACCCAACCCTCCTCTAACAACCCCTAACTGTCCCCAACCGCCCCTAACCGCCCCTAGCTGTCCCCAACCACCCCTAACT